TGGTCTTAAGACCGGTCTTAAGACCAAGACCAACTTCGAGTACCACAACACTGTCAATCACAACATTAATTTATAGTTTATAGTTCCCACCTTTGTTCCAAGAGGCCCTCTCACCTCCCTCCCCAATATACATGACTGTAAACATTTATATAGATTTGACACAGATTTTTTTCTTTAGTGATCTTTATGAATAACATTTCTAAATCAGTAGGTTGTGATTTAAGAAGAGACCATTCCATATGGGACATCAGGTAACTTCTCAACTTCAAAAATCTGTAAAAGTCAGATGAAATCAACCCATACTTCTCTTCAATCTGACCAGATAATTTCAGGATCTCCCCTTCAAACAGGTCATCAATAAAAATTTAATTCTTATTTTGCCAGACTCAAAACCCTGAATCATGTTGCCCTGGTAAAAAATTATTATATTCAAAAATGTCAAGGCCCTGGATATAGAATGAGGAGCTTTGATACTTTTTCTAATCATGCTTAAAATCTTTTGTGTACTTTTCATCCACGTATTTGTAATTTTGTACTTGTTCCAGATTTCAGTTGAGCAAAATGTAAATGCAATGAAAATTTAGGACATGAGCTTTGTTCCAGTGTCAACCATGTTGTTTCTTTATTCTGTATTAGCTAATCCACAGTTTTACATAATTGTGCTGCCCATAATATAGTTTTCAATTTGATAAGTTAAGACCTCCATAAGGCTTCCCGCTGGCCAACTGTGTACATTTTATTCTGGTCTTTTTTTTCTGCTAAATAAATGTACAAATCATTTTTTGCATTTTATTAAAACTTGCTGTTGGAATCCAAATAGGAAGGGACATAAACAAATACATTAATCTGGGGAGAATATTCATTTTGAATGTTTCAAACCTTCCAGTAAAGGATAGTGGCAAAAGTTTACATCTTTCTAAATCACTTTGAATAGCTTCCCATAATTTGCTTTGTACAATTGTGAAACATCGGTAGTAACAACTAAACTCTTAAAATATCAATAAATGGCTGTTTGTCTC